CCTCCCTCCCTTCCCCCCCCCCCCTTCCTTATCCCCCCCCCCCTTTCATCTTCCTCCCCTTCTGTCAACCAATTTCTGTTGTTCATCAAGGTAACAGTTACCGCTCAAGAAACGAACCTAAAAAAAACTTAAAAAATATTATTGTCAACATACGGTTCATATATTGGCCTGAAAAATTTGAAGTTTTTTTTGACCGGTTGATCAGCCAACGACAGTACTATCACCATCACTATCAACAACAGGTATAGCGGTTAGCTCAGCTACTACGTTTCAAGTTACTACTATAGAACATTATACAGCAAACATAAAACTACATAAACCTTTTCCAGATAGTCATATTTCATCTATAAGTGTCCTCTTTTAAACCTCGATCATATAACTGAGAATTCCACGTAGAACTTTCAGGAAATCAAACACTATTAGTAAGCATTAACTAATAAAAGCAAAAAAATATTAGGCTGTCGTAAAGTTGTTATCGAATCCAACTGACCACATAGCAAACAAAATATTTAGCAAATTTTTTTGTTACAGGTGTTTGCAACTATACTGTATTCTTCTATTACTTTGGCACTTTTTTTTTTATCTTTTCACACCCAATAGTCCACTACTACTAATTGAGCAGTTCAATAAACATTCAGTAAAGTGATCAAATGTTAGCTGGTATGCTAATTTTAGAGATTATCTTGACGAGTGATGTTAACTTTACTTTAAGATAAAATATCGCCATCATCATCAAAATTAATCTTTTTTTTCCTTTTCTTTACCGCTTGGTTAGTTTTGTTGATTAATTTTTGTTAAATGTTGATCAGCGACAAATTTGAAGAGTTCAAAGTTAATTTTTTTCTTCTTCTTTTCTTTTCTTTTTTCCGTTTCTTTTTTTCTTTTGCTTTTTCTTTACTTTTCTGTTATAAACAGCTACCTGTTCAAAAAAAAAAGTGAGCTCAAAAGTTTTTACCGTTAGTAAAGTTAGATGAACTTTGATTTACTAGTGTACACTTATATTACGGCTGCAGAAATCGTTGCACACTTATTGCCGCCACTGTGTAAATACACAGCATTTAGTCGAGTATGTAAAAATTGTTAATAATAGGTTAAACAAAACAAAACAAAAAAAAAAAAGGTAGAAAGATGTGTTTTTTTAAACAAATATTATACCACCATCGTCGCCATTATAACTACAATTACCACTGTTAGGAAAAAAAAAATTAAATCTAAGGATAAATGGTTGACAGAAGTTGAAGTTCAGAATAATAAGTAGTTGTTTAAAAATTTGCCGTGTAAACCTAATAATAAGTAAAGTGTAAAAAGCAAAGAAAAAGAAAAAAACGATTACCAGCCATTTATGACGATATTTAAACTCCTTAACTGCATCTGGAGTCAACGATGGTGTAACTGATGTTACGCTGCTGCACGGTGCACTGATCCACGGATGTAACAAAGCGTCATCCACAGTCATTCGGTTTCTGTACCAAAAAAAGTTGCTTACATTTTAAGTTCTTCAATTTTTCTTTTTTAAACACATAAAAACCATTTTTATTGGTTTTTAATTGACAAAGAGCAATAGTTTGCTTTAATTTAAGAAGTCTCTCAACAGTCAACAACTAAACCCTCATAAAGAATTGACCAGCAATAGGTTTTTTCTAAGATAACTGTTAATTGCTATACTCCAATCGATTAGACCAATAATCACCAGGCACTTCCAAGATCATTTTTTTTTAGCGAACCGACTAATACATCAATAATTTGAGCATACAATTTTGATTTATTTTCACGCTTCTAAACTGCAGTAACGTTTAGTTGTTTTATTAACCTACCATTGCACAGTTTACTTTTGTTCCAAAAATAAACAACAGTTCAAATAATTGTTATGAATATATTTAAAATTTTTTTCACTTTTTGTTAGCGACTGTTTGAAAATTATTTATATTCTGATCTAACTTTTTGTTTTAAGCCACTCACTGGTATTGAAGTCAGAAGATTTGAAAAGTAATTGTTTAAAATCTAAAAAAACTTATAGTTTCTGAGTTTTCAGCGTTTTCTAACCGCCAATAACATACCGGATATTGACAGTTAGTAACTGTGAGATGAAAGTTTTGGCTAAGTCGGATACATCGGCAAGCTCTTTGCGACCCAACGAATAATTACCCAATAAAACATTTCGCACTGTCTCTTGATCATTATCGCCAAGGAACGGTGAAATTCCAGACAGTCTAAAAGATGCTTGGTTATCAAATATTTTCTTTTTAGCATTTCTTGCTCTCCATCAACATCTTGCTATAAAGTTACTCGACAATATTCATAAGTTTCTTCAGTAAAACAATAGCAAAACTAGTCGTACAGTAATCTTAAACTAGCAAAAAATTCGTTATTTAAATAAAAAATTTTTGTTAAATGTTCTAAAATATAAATTAAGTATCACAGTTCTTTCAACGCGCACGCACTTACTTATGCCTGGTTTTAAAACAATTAAATAAGTCTTCTAAACAGTAATTAAGACAACAGAAAAAAAATAACCAAGTTTGTTTTGATTGTAGACAGTTAAGGTTTACAAAAAAAAACAGATATTATGCCAATAAAGTAAAAATAAAAATTCTAACAGAACATATGTTAACGCTCCAATACTCCACATATCTGAAGCCAAAGTTACTGGAATTCCAGCTGCAATTTCCGGTGATACGAATTCTGGACTTCCAGTTATATTTGCAATTATTTTCCCCTTATGTAAACGCCTGTAACATCAGTGAAAAAAAGGAAAATAAGTGTCAGTTAAATTAACAATCGACAGTTGAGGTTTTCTTGTCAATAATTAAATTAATTTCTTGTTACCTATACTCTATATACAAATGTTATATCAATAAGAAAATTTGACAAAATTACATCAACATAAAGGTCTACTTCAGTGCAACATACGAGTTGTTAAATTTAAATAGACAAAATTAAAGATCATACAAAAATTAACAGTAGCGGAATGAAACGTAGACACCTACCGACTTTGACCAAAATCTGCCAGCAACAGACGATCATCCCGAAGAAGCAAAACTTCCGGTCTCAGATCCAAATGAGCAATCTTTTTGTCATGTAGGCATTTTAAGGCTAGCAAAAGTTGCCGGATAAATGAACGTACCTGATCCTCGTTATTCTTTTGTGAAAAACTAGGACTCAACCCATCAAGCAACATACGATTTGCACTAGAAAACAAAAAGCACTAGTTCAATAACTTCAGCAATATCATTTGAACAGTATAAGCATATCTAAAAATTAACTGTATCAAAAATAGTATTAATTTTTTTCTACAGTTTTAATAAGTCTCTAGAATTATAATTAATGCTCTTAAAAAAATTAAAATTCTATTTAGCCACGTTGCGGTAACCTTTTTTTTTTTTTT